TGAAAGAAACTTATTGAAACATCTCTGAGGGTGAGATTTTATCTGTATTCAGTTTTATTACTGTACTAGACCTAGACTTGCGGGTTTTATTTTATTTTGCTTGGTAATTCACTTTGTTCTGTCTGTTACTACTTGGAACCACTTAAATCCTACTTTCTGTATTTAATAAAATAACTTTTTACTTATTAATTAACCCAGAGCAGAGGTCGGCAACCTTTCAGAAGTGGTGAGCCAAGTCTTCATTTATTCACTCTAATTTAAGGTTTTGCGTGTCAGTCATACATTTTAACGTTTTTAGAAGGTCTCTTTCTATAAGTCTATAATATATAACTAAACTATTGTTGTATGTAAAGTAAATAAGGTTTTTAAAATGTTTAAGAAGCTTCATTTAAAATTAAATTAAAATGCAGAGCCCCCCCAGACCAGTGGCCAAGACCCGGGCAGTGTGAGTGCCATTGAAAATCAGCTCGCATGCTGCCTTCAGCACACATGCCATAGGTTGCCTACCCCTGAGCCAGAGTATGTATTAATACCTGGGGAGGGGGGGCAGGGGGGCAAACAGCGGTGCATATCTCTCTATCAGTGTTATAGAGGGCGAACAATTTATGAGTTTACCCTGTACAAGCTTTATACGGGTAAAACGGATTTATTTGGGGTTTTGACCCCATTGGGAGTTGGGCATCTGAGTGTTGAAGACAGGAACATTTCTTAAGTGGCTTTCAGTTAAGTCTGCAGCTCTGGGGCACGTGGTTCAGACCCTGGGTCTGTGTTGGAGCAGACTGGTGTGTCTGGCTCAACCAGATAGGGTTCTGGAATCCCAAGCTGGCAGGGAAACCAGGGGCAGAAGTACTCTTGGCACATCAGTTGGCAGCCCCAGAGAGGTTTCTATGATCCAACCCGTCACACCATTGACTAGGAATTAATCACAGGTTTCGAAAAAGTTAGACCAAATCTTTTCAAATTTGTCTGAGGTCCCTCTTCTCCAAAACATTATCTTCTTTTTAGCTGCTAAGTCCCCATATTACTGTGCCAAGCATCTATCCAAAGAAGCAATTTGCTTTTCTATCTTAAGCAATAAGCTGTTTGGCTACAATCATTGATCTAGAAAACCAAACTTCCTGTGAGTTAGAGCATTTCCAAAACAGTTCTGGGAGGCAATTTTTAGAGATGTAGCCACTATTACAGGGCAAACTATGGCCTGCGGGACCATCCTGTCCGGCCCACCTGAGCTCCCGGCTGGGGAAGCTCCCCCTGCCCCTCCCCCGCCTTCCCGCCTCTCGCAGAGCCTCAGCGTGCCGCGCCGCTGGCGCCAGTGCTCTGGACCGCTCCTGGGCAGCTCGGCAGCTCCTGCCGCTTTGAGCGGCATGGTAAGGGGGTGGGGCTGCGAGCTCCAGCGGGCTGCGCGGCATCCATACCCACTGCCCTGAGCAGCATGGTAACGGGGCCGGGCTGGGAGGAGGGGTTGGATAAGGGGCAGGGAGCGGTTGGAGGGGGTGGAGGTTCTGGGGTGGGCGGTCAGGGGACAAGGAACGGGGGGGGGTTGGGTAGGCGTGGGAATTCTGGGGTTCTAAAGGGGTGGTGGTGGATGGGGTGGGGGCAGTCAGAGGACAGGGAGCGGGGAAAGTTGGGTAGGGGGTGGGGTCCTAGGGGTGGGCAGTTAGGGTGGGGAGTCTTGGGAGGGGGGGGGGAGGGGACAGGGGGCGGGGGCTTTGATGGGTTGCGGGTTCTGAGGGGGGCAATCGGGGGCAGGAAGTGGGTGGGGGTCGGATAGGGGGTGGGGACAGGCTATTTGGGGAGGCATAGCCTTCCCTACCCAGCCCCCCATACAATTTTGCAACCCCGCTATGGCCCTCGGGCCAAAAAGTTTGCCCACCCCTGCACCTCATATTAATACTCTTACCTATTCTAGCCAAACGAATTGTGTCCTGAGATAGTCCAAAACACGTGGGCCAGTGTGGCTCCAGGAGTCTCCAGCAGCAGTCAGTTTTGGCAAGGTCCATGCACTAATTGAAACCTATGTGGGGACCAGTGTGAAGGAGATGTTAATGTTTTGCAAGACAAGTATTGACTAGGATTCAAGGATATACACAAATCTGAATTAGGGAGGTTTTTTGGGCCAGGAGGAAGTTATAATAGGCTACAGCCATTCAGGTGAATGCAGAAGTTTTTGGCTCCCAGGCCTGTACTCAGATTACTAGATGCTGATGCCTCTCATGTTTATTGTACTTTAATCACTTGCTTTTGCCCACTCTCCCAATAAGCCATTTTATTAGTACAACAGCACACTCCAGGTTGTACATTGAGTGTATCAAGAAACTTAATTTTACCCTGGATTGTGTGTGTGTATGTTATATGTATCTTTCTACTGAGGTCACCAACAAAACTTGTATTGACTTAAATGGGAACAGAATTGAGCAAGTCTTGTTTTTGCTTCTTCCTTAACTGATCTTCCCATTTTCAATTAGAACAGGGAAATAAATTGAATAGACCTTGTTGTGAGGGAGAAAAATCTTCCAACATTTCTGTTCAAGCCACTTCAATTCCTTTCTACAAGTCACTTTAAAGGAAAAAAATTCCCCTCTCAGTTACAACCTGCAAACCCCATTGCATAGATACCATGGTGATAGGTGCTATTTAAAAACCCAAGACAGATTAATAGAGTGTAAGTGGAAGCAGAATTTGGTACAGAAGAGGGCTCTACCAGTCATCTTATTCCGACACATACTGTTATCCAGGTGAGACTCATTACATCCTCATTTGGTCTCTTTTCCTGACATTTGTTAAGCAATCTTTGGTGCAGAGAGGCAACGTCTGTCTTTTGAGGGCCCAAAGATTTGTGAGGTACTAGGAGCTCTACAAATAGCAGATGGAGTTGCTTTCCATTGTGATACTTCTCCAGCCATTTCTCCTCGAGAAGCTAAAGTCTTTTAACTATAGTTCTATGTCTTTCAGGAGAGAATATTAATTGAAAATAGATCTGATAACCCTGAGCTTTCTTCATTATAAATTAGATGAAAACCTAAAGATTTGATATCATTCTGGGCCAGCTGAGATTGAAAAGATGGATCCAGATAAACTGTTGAGACCCAAGATTATTTCATTTTCAAGTGTATTTTGCAAGGCGGAGAGCACCACAGGATTGGAAGCAGCTGAACCTTGAGACACATTTCAAGTATCCTACAGAGTGGGGGCAGCCTGAACCACCGAGGAAAAAAAATCAAATTGAACCAGAATTTTTTTTTTAAAAAGATCTAGATTTTTTTTTTTTTTTTTTGGTTTTATTTATTTATTTTAAAACACATGCCCACACAGAGATTTTGGCTCTGGTATTTCTATTCGTTACCAAAATCTCTTATGTTTCCACATCATTTCTGACCCAAATAAAATCAGGAAGCACTGGAAGTCTCATGAAAGCTTCTTTGCATCAGATGTCCAGCCAGGAGAGGTTTGAATAAGCATCTGAATCTACAAGTCTCTATATTTCCCCAACACTAGACACAACCTAGTACTGGTACAGCTCTATTGCAGAGAAATACCAACGTATTTTTGGCAAGGAAATTGTTGGAATCAGCACACTATCCTTATGGTAACTGCAACGGGTTCGGTCACCGAGACCCCCTCGGGACTGTCACTTGACATGCTGGAATTACCTCGGAGCCTGTTTTCCCTGCCAGCTTGGGACTCCAGAACCCTGCCTTGTTGAGCCAGACACGCTAGCCTGCTGCAACACAGACCCAGGTCTGGTCCACGCCCCCAAAGCTGCAGACTTTAACCAAAAACTGCTCAGCAGGTCACCTATCTCCAGCACCCAGTTCCCAGTGGGATCCAAACCCCAAATAAAGCCGTTTTATTCTGTATAAAGCTTATACAGTGTAAACTCAAATTGTCCGCCCTCCATAACACTGATAGATACGCACAGCTGTTTGCTCCCCCAGGTATTAATCACCAGGGCCGGCTCCAGGCACCAGCTTAACAAGCAGGTGCTTGGGGCGCCAAGGGAGAGGGGCGGCACCTGCGGCAATTCGGGGCGGCAGGTCCCTCAGTCCCTCTAGGAGCGAAGGACCTGCCGCTGAACTGCCGCCGCCGATCGCGGCTTTTTTTTTTTTTGCTTGGGGCAGCAGAAATGCTGGAGCCGGCCCTGCTAATCACTTACTCTGGGTTCATTAATAAACAAAAGTGATTTATGAAGTATAAAAAGTAGGATTTAAGTGGTTTCAAGTAATAACAGACAGAACAAAATAAGTTACCAAGCAAAATAAAACAGCACACAACACGTAAGTCTAAGCCTAATACATTAAGAGCCTGAATACAGGTAAATCTCACCCTCAGCCGTTCCAATAAGCTTCTTTCACAGACTAGACTCCTTCCTAGTCTGCACCCAAGCCTTTCCCCTGGTACAGACCTTGTTAGTTCCAGCAGGCATCTTAGGTGAAAAGCAGGGGATTTCACATGACTGGCACCCCTCGTCCTCCACCCCCTTTTATAGCTTTGGCACAAGGCAGGAATTCTGTGTCTCTCTGGGTCCGCACCCATTCTTTTAAGTGGAAAATTACCAGGTTTATAATGGATTCCAGTACCAGTTGACATGATCACATGTCACTGTAAGACCTCATTCTCCATTCTTTCAGGGTTGGACTGCACATGCCCAGGAAGGTTTGTGAGTAAACAGAGCCATTTACAACCAATTGTCCTAGTTAATGGGAGCCATCAAGATTTTAAGCCACCATTAATGACCCACACTTTGCATAGTTACAATAGGACTTCAGAGTAATACTTCATATTTCTAGCTTCAGATACAAGAATGATACATTCATACAGATAGGATGAACACACTCAGTAGATTATAAGCTTTGTAATGATACCTTACGAGAGACCTTTTGCATGAAGGATATTCCAGTTACATTGTAGTCACACTCATTAGCACATTTCCATAAAACATATGGAGTGCAACATCACAGTAACATCTTGCAAATCATTCCCATATCCAGAAATACTGGGGATGTCAGAAAAAGTTATGGAGCTTTATTAATTGTCTGTATATTTTCATCAACCAAGGAAACCTACAATATCAGTTATGTTCGTTCGCACTAAGGCCAGTCTGAGAGGAACTTCATTTATTTCTGATTGCAGCATGGTTCTTTGGTAGAGCAAGAAACCTTATTTTCTTAAGGATCTCTGGCCTACCTAGATCGTCATCCCACAGGTATTCCGGAGAAAGTATTTTGGTTGGTTTGTAGTAAACAAAATACTTGTTTAAGTAACTCTCATCTTGCCAGATTGCCTCAATTCCTTTGGCTTTGTCCACCATCATGGCTTCATGGCATTTCTTGGTCAACTTGTAAACCTCCATTACTGTTCCTCCAAAAAAGCCTCCAGCATAGTAGAAGTCACCCTCATCTCTGGGCACATAAGCTTGAGAAGCAGGTCGACGTTCATAGGTGAAAGACTGACGCTCTGCAGCATAGAAATGTGGGTGTAATGTGCCAAACAAGTTGCTCAGGATCTCCACTCCAACTTGGTCATTAAACCTCATGTCTACATCCACACACACTAGGTAGCTGACCTCATTAATGAACCGCTGCTGAGAGAAGGAGTTGATCAATTCCATTCGTCGCATAGAGATTTCTTGCCACCTAGGGTAGTTTTGGACTTGCAGAACCACTACATTCCTTCCTTCTTTGAGTGGAACTTTAGGAACTTCTTCTGGTCTGTCTGTGAAAATGTAATAGTTCACCCTATGTCCAACCATAAAGTACGTCTCTGCAGTTTCTAAAAACTTGTTTAGGAAGACTGTATACCTAGAAAAAAAAAAGGAAAAAATTCTCTATTAGAAATAAAAGGCACTGTGGTAAAAGACGGGAAGAAGGGGATACAGAGAGCAACAAAGTGAAAGGATCAGGGAGACCAACAGGGTGTGCAGAAGAGGGAGTAGGTGGGGGAAATGGTGGAGGTGTAAGAAGGGGCAGAGTTGTAAAGCATCTTGAAGTTGAGGATGAGGATTCTGAATTTAGTGTGGAAAAAGACAAGAGGCAGTGAAAGGACTGATGGGGGCTGATGACATGGTTGGACTCACAAGAGGGATCTAGGATTTTAGCTTTTGTTCTTATTTATGGAGGGGAAGATGAACCAATTCCTACCTAGTTTGTAAAGCATTTTATGATGATCAAAGCTGTGTAAATGTCTATTTTCTCTCCTATGAAAGTAGCCAATTAATATAAGATTCCTATTAAGAAGTAACAAGTAACTGTGACTCCACCCAATGGGTTTTGTTGCAAGCAGGAATTGACAATGCTCATGAACAACAAAAAGAATCGGTTTTAGTCAGAAATGTCTGTTACAGCTGTCCCCCTGCTGTTCTGTTTGTGCTGTGTGGCCGCCCCCTGCCCCCCCAGCCATGGAACTAACCAAAGTCACAGCCTGGCCCTGCTCATGGAAATGGCTTGTGCAGACTGACTGGAGCCATTGCTCTGCTCAGAGCTGGGGGGGCTTTTCGCTCCTTTGTCTAGCTTCTTTGTTCAGGACCCGGCTCGGTGTAGGGTGCTCTGCCCAGGTATGCAAGACCTAAAGTGGCCACATAGCTGAGCATACGAGTCATACCTGTAACTCAGAACTTGCCCAGGCATGTCCTGTGCCTACCTGCAGTTTCCCTGCCTTCTCTCCTCCCCTGGATTAAGGGGAACCAATCAAAGTTACTGGCGGGAAACTGCCTGAGTTTGCCCATAAAAACAGACATTTTCTGATCAGACCCCCGGAGAAGGTCCTTGCTTTGCCACCTGGTCTGATCAGCTAGGAGTCTTTGGGGGGCCCTCTCCCCGCTCTCGTTTGTTTTTGAGAGTACCCCCGTTTTTAAACTCCCCTCCCACGAACAACGAATCTGTGCCTGGAGATCTCCTGATTATTGTAAGCGAATCGAGTCCTCTCTGTGTCCTCTGATGTTGAAACTGCTGTTCCTGCTGCTGCTTTGGGGATTGGTAAGGAAAAACCTCTTGCACACACCCCTTGTTCTGGCTGCTGGCTTTCTTTCCCCCAGCAGGCAGACCCAAGCTAACTACTTGTTTCTTGCTCCGCAGTGCCTTTGATGCTAGAAATAAGCCTGTGCCTTCCTGGACTGTATCCTGGGCTGCCAGCTTGCAGCCACCCCACTGCTGCAGCCACCACTAGTTAATCCCCCTCCTAGGGTGACCAGACAGCAAGTGTGAAAAATCGGGACAGGGGGTGGGAGGTAATAGGAGCCTATATAAGAAAAAGACCCAAAAATCTGGACTGTCCCTATAAAATCAGGACATCTGGTCACCCTCCCCCCTCCCCCCCTTGGAGCTGTATCCTGGGCACACACCAGTCTGCCCTCTGGAACTACCCCTAGTATAAGGTGCACCCATTAGGTTAGATTTAGCTTTTAGTCTAGATAAGTTGTAATTTCATTTTGCATAGCTGCAGTTAAGTTAGGTTTAGGAAATTGCTTGCATTGTACTCTGTAAGTTAGGCTTACAGAATTGTTGCCTTGTGTTTTGTTACTTGCTAATTTGTGTAGTCTTGGTTAAGTTAAATCATAGATAAGATTTTGCTGTGTTCTGTATAATTGTCTCTCTGCTGTTTAAACTTGCAGCCTGTCTGCTCTCTGTGTCTCCCTGAGTTTAAATCTCCCTCCACCACACGTGCTCACCCTGCTCCTACTGGTACCAAACCTCAATTGTATTACTGAAGTCTAGCATAAACTCGCATTGGTTACCCCTTTTTCTCTCTAACACACCTCAAATTTTGCATTTACACCACTGTGACACATTTTTACCTAAAGTTGTTGATTATTTAACACATTTTACCCATACTGTTAGTTGGTTATATGCTGCTGTGACACACTCTTTACATAGAAATTGTTAGCTGCCTGTTACGTTTATACTTCAGTGTTAATTGGTTACCAACTGTATTGTACCCCACTGTATTGTACCCCACTACTGAAACCCCCTATCCTATTTACTAAAAGAAACCCCATCCCAATTGTCTACCTTAACAAACCCCATACCCCTCACTATTGAATTTTCCCAGTTTTTGCATTTTCTTAATAAAGTTTATTTTGCACCCCACCAGTGCAGTAGTTGTCCCCCAAGATCCCCTACCTGCTGGCAGGGACAAGAAACACTTTTTTTAAAATATTTGTTGCTAGTTTCCTGGTTAGGATTATTTCCTTCCAAATACTGACGATCATCAACCTTCATCTCTTGAGCCATATTCAGCTGTTCAGGGCATTGCACGTGACTCTCATGGAATCCATGCTGCAGGAGCAAGTGAGGTCTTGGGTACTGTGGTGATCACATGAGTGCTCTGCCCATGAACACATGTGGAAGTGCTGAGAAATGAACCATAGACACAATGCCACTCTGTCCCTCCCAAACAGTCAGGAAGGGAGTCTACCTGGGAAGGATGAAGAGCTGACCTGTACCGTGCCTGAATTTGAACCTCTCGCTCTAGGGACTTTCAAAGCAAGGTACTGGTCATCTCCTGAGAGATACTGAGTATCTTTAACTCCAGTGAGAGATAAGGGCACGCAGCACCTCTCAGGATTGGGCCTATATTGCCACTTAGCTAGCCTTGCAGTGAAAATGAGAGTTTTCTCTGTCATGTTCACATTCCAGCTCCATGCACCATCCAAGCAAAATGACTTGCCTGCACAGCCCAGGTGCAACTGCATTTCAAAGGTGATCTGCCTCGTTACCTGCTATTTCAGCTGTCCTGCAAATAACCAGCAGGTGTAATGTGTTACAAGAGCTGCCCCCCACATAGCCAGCTATGAACCAAGATCTCTGGCAGCGGTTTGACATCAATCCTTTTTTTATGGAGAGAATAAGGTCTAGTACTTCGAGTGTACTAAGATTTATTTCATACAACATTGGCTGTAAAGATGGAGGATTTCTTTGCACAACACTCCCCTTAAGAAATACTATATCCCAATAACAGTTCACCTTTTCATATAACAGTATAACAAAGGAGCATGGTACACAAAATCATTTCACTTTGGCTACAGTGAAGCAAATTTAACATCAATGGTTGGGAAACAGCCAGGGCACTATGACCTTCAGCACTCAGGATCCTTATCCTGCTAAAGTATTGGAGAGGGTCAGCAAAGGAACCTGTAGAAAAAAATCCATCAAACCCCCTCACGAGTAGAGGGGCCAGTTGAGGCACTACCCTCTTACAGAAATCAGCTCAAACCCAACAGGAGTGAGGGGGCATTTACAAGGTTTCATGGCAAATATCCAAGCCCCCTTCATTTCACTATGGGAGGGTTCAACATGAGAGTTGTACACTGTACACTGTCAGAAATTAACATCAACCTCATTTGTCATGTATATGCCTAGCCCAGAGGTGGACAAACTACGGCCCGCGAGCCACATCCGGCCCGCGAGACCGTCCTGCCCAGCCCCTGAGCTCCCGACTGGGGAGGCTAGCCCCCAGCCCCTCCCCTGCTGTCCTCCCTCCCCCACAGCCTCAGCTTGCCGCGCCACCTGCCCTCTGGCCCACCACTCCTACCAGGCAGTACAGGCGGTGGGGCTTTCAGCTCCTGCTACTCTGAGCAGCATGGTAAGGGGCGCGGGGGGTTGGATAAGGGGCAGGGGGTTTCAGGGAGGGGGAAGTCAGGGGACAGGGAGCGGGCGGGGGGGTTTGGATAGGGGGTGGGTTCCCTGGGGGCCTGTCAGGAGGCAGGGGTGTGGATAGGGGTCGGGGCAGTCAGGGGACAGGGAAAGGTTGCATGGGGAAGAGGTTATGGGGGGCAGTCAGGATACGGGGAATGGGGGGGGTTGAATGGGGAGAAGGTTCTGGGGGGGTCAGGGGACGGGGAACGGGGGGTTGAATGGGACAGAGGTTCTGAGGGGGCAGTCAGGGGACAGGGAGCAGGGGGGGGTTGGGTGGGGCAGAGGTTCTTGGGGGGGGGGAGTCAGGGCAGGGGCGGCTCTGTTTTTTGCCGCCCCAAGCACGGCAGGCAGGCGGCTTTCGGCGGGTCCGCTGGTCACGCGGATTCGGCGGCATGCCTGCGGGAGGTCCGCCAGTACCGCGCCATCGGCGTCCCCGCCGCCGAATTGCCGCCGAACCCGCGGGACTGGCGGACATCCCGCAGGCATGCCGCCGAAAGCCACCTGCCTGCCGCCCTCACAGCAACTGGCAGGCCGCCCCAGTCACACGCTTGCTGCGCTGGTGCCTGGAGCCGCCCCTGGGTCAGGGGATGGGGAACACGGGGGGTTGGGAGTCCTCAAGATATTATTGGGAAGAAACCCTAATTCATATTGATTCTGGGGCAGTTACAAACCATTGTGCCAGCATAATGTTAGGGGAGTGTTATGTTGCTTGGGGTTTTGTCTTTCAAAGTCCTATTACATGTAATCATTATCAATCCCATTAAACTTTTCACAAGAGTAGGAGTATCCTACCCAGTATCCTCGACAAATTCAAACTTCACTTCTTTCATCCCATCTTCCCAAATTGGCCCTATATTTTCAAAATGGATCTGCTATTCTTTGCTTCCTATCCTATTTGTTGTGTCTCATTGATGTACAACGTTGAAAAGTTGCTGCATCTCACTGGTGGCCAAATCAGCCTTGCAAAATTGTTATAAATATTTATCAGCACAGGTACAAAAACCTACTTGTCCATTCTTAACAGGATCATAATAATAAAATAATCAGGATATTTTACTATACTTTGATCTGGAGTCCTTTTGACCTTTAGCAATACATTTTGCAAAAAAATTCTGTTGGCAGGCAATAGCGCTTATAACCACTGGTTGAACCTGTGCTCCATGACTAACAAGGACTTCATTGTAGCATGCACAGCCTTTGGAAAATAATAATGTTATTAAATAGTTCCTTAATCTGTGCTTGCATAGCTGGGTATGTCACAAACCACGCTAGGTATTTTCCTTCATTTACAAATTAGATAAAGCACTGCTCAGCATGAAAGTCAAGTTCTTCCTTTGTAAGAAGGACTCTTGAAGGATGTCTCTCTGTGCCCAGTTACGTGGTTGTATTTCTAAATATTCCACCCCAAGTAGAATGATAACGGTGTAGAGAGAAGATAAAAGACCACCTATCGTGAAGTCAGCAGCGCCTAAGGTAAAAACTTTGTGCCCAGAGCAAAGGGAAAAGAGGAAAGTACATCACTCAACTTCCATAGTTGACAATCCCTCCAGTCCGCCTCCCTCTGATACACACGATAAGCAGCTTAATCTGACCCTTTCTCACAGCTGCCAGACCCTCCTAATTTCCTCCTCCACCACACTGGAAAAGCCCTGTCCTTTCCCTGTCACTGAAATGTGTTTTAAGTCAATCAGCAATCTTCCAACAAAACTCCTGCTTCGGAGAGTGAGGTGAACAGGGGATACTATACACCATCACTACACAAAAAAAATTGGTTCCCCCACCTCCTCGTTGGTTATACATCACCTTTCGTACGTAACATAGTTCAGACTCACTTTTTGATAGCAAACACTGTCAGTCCAACAGTGACATTCCTTCGTCGGAACTGCTCATTCAGGATCTCGGAGTTATAGGTCCCTTCCCAAACTATTGGAGCAAACCATGGAGTCATCATAAGGACGTCACTTCTCCTGTGGAAGAGGAAGTTTTCTTTAGAATCACACTGTAGAAGTAAGAAATACGGAGGCAGTTGCCTTCCCTACATATAGGAAGACACTACCAGAGCCATGTGTTAAAGTTCAAAAATAGACAACTAACAGCTTTAAAGAATATACAACTCCATGAAGTCACAAGACATGGTGCAGTAAGGCTATATAATGTAGCAGGTTACTGGGATCTATCAACTAATTAATGTTTGCACTGCACTAGCATCTACCCAGCATGTCTGAGGTTTGTAACTGAACAAAACATTCTGGCTTGTACTTTGTATAAAGACCCAAGTGTTTCTAAGATTTTGTATGCCTAAGTTAACACAGAGCCAGACAAGTTCAAATCTTTAAGGAAGTTTCTTGGTCAGATTTTAGTCAATTAACTTTAGTTATATCTTGGATGTAACAAAACACTTATTTTTAGTTTTACTTACGATGGCTTTAGAGTCTGTGGCTTTGTGTAAATCATCCTAAAAGAAAAGTAGGAAAACAAAAAATGATTTCCATAGCTCTTTAAAAAAAAAAAAACCCTTCTCGAGTTTACAGACAGATAAAAGATTCCCACTGATCAGCTCCATTGAGAACTCAGTGACCCATACTCAGAACTCCAAAGGAAAGGGTTTTAGCTTTACTGTACCTCTGGCGACCTGAGTTTAAATCCTGGGTCAGGTCACATATGAACATAAGTTTAGTGGTCTCTCTCTAGTCCCTAATATTGGTTTACATCACAAAACCTCTATGCAGTGTGGCTTGATTGACAATCTATGCTCATGAGAGGCTCAGAGGGAGACATTAAAAGTCAGGAATGAGGTGCATTAGCAAAGTGGTGTGAGCATGCAGGATAGGAGTAGAAAAGTTTTGCAGGTAGGGAATGCGGAACATTGATAGAGCTGTGTGTGTGGCTCAGAACTTGAATAGTAGAGCTTCCTGGAGGTCAGAATTGAGGTGCAGACTGGTGTAAACCAAGCAATGTGAACATCCTTAGAGGGGACGGGAATCCATGAGATCACCGCTGAGAGCTTTCAAAGATAGTTAACATCTGAGCTTGTCTAAATCTCAGTGTCATTATGTTGTATTGATGATTCATAATACACAAATGTAATTCTAAAATAGAGTACTGGAGTTCCACAAGCATAGATCATCATCCTTCAGGAATACCAGAGCTCTTCTGAAAGCAGCTCGAACACTTAA